AGAATGTTGTTTTCTCTTCTCCTATATTCTCTGAACAGGTGGCTGACGGTGAGTTGTTGGTAGCAGCGACCTCTCGCTTTCTCTCCCCTATCCGGTGGCATAGGGGGAGCTGTCATTCTTTGAGAATGTTTTTTAACAGTCCATCTGCTGCTTTGTCTGTTCTTGTATTTGAGCCAGTTTCCTTACCAAGATCTATAGGCTGCTTGAGAACGACTTGACCTACTTGGTGGTAGGGAAAATTTCTTTATGGAATCTACTACATTGGCTCATAATCCAGTGAAATGCATCTTGTGGAAGGCAAGTAGCTGAAATATGCTTCAAAAAAAAATCCCAAAAAACATTGACCGAGGGACAATTCCCCACCCCAGAATACTCCGTTAAGATGATATAAGGAGCACCTGGCTTCTTGTAATCTTCCAAAGACTTTATATGCAGGGAGACTGCTTTTGGTTTGAAACTTTAGATACTGCTGTTTTTGTTAAAGGTGAGTATTTTTACAACTACCACTGGTGTAGAAAAAGAAACCCCAAATACAAATCTGATGTCCAAAATAATACTAATGAGAAAAAAAATACAGTAATTGTCAGGAATCAGTCTTTATAGTTCATAATTAGACAAAGGTGAGGACAGGTAAGAGATACAGTAGAACCTCAGAGTTACGAACTGACCAGTCAACCACACCCCTTTTGGAACTGGAAATACGCGATCAGGCAGCAGCAGAGACCCCCTCTTCCCCTCCCCCCCCCAAAAAGGCAAATGCAATACAGTACTGTGTTAAATGTAAACTATTTAAAAAAAATAGCGGGAAAAGTTAAAAAAAAAGATTTGACATAGTAAGGAAACTGTTTCTGTGCTTGTTTCGTTTAAATTAAGATGGTTACAAGCAGCATTTTTCTTCTGCATAGTAAAGTGTCAACGCTGTATTAAGTCAATGTTCAGTTGTAAACTTTTGAAAGAACCACCATCACGTTCTGTTCAGCGTTATGAACATTTCAAAGTTACGAACAACCTCCATTCCTGAGGTGTTCGTAACTCTGAGGTTCTGCTGTATCTATAAAAAAGCCCAAGTACTGCAGCTCCTCATCAGATTTCTTTTTCATTTATAGCTTCGCTTTTTCTTTAAAATGACCTCATAAATGATTATTATGTTACAGGTTTCAGAGTAGCAGCCATGTTAGTCTGTATCCGCAAAAAGAACAGGAGTACTTGTGGCACTTTAGAGACTAACAAATTTATTAGAGCATAAGCTTTCGTGGACTACAGCCCACTTCTTCCGAAGAAGTACACTAAAGACCAGATTTCGTGATGGAGCCCAGATTTCACGTTCTGTGATGCATTTTCAGTGGTTTGAGCATTGGCCTGCTAAACCCAGGGTTGTGAGTTCAATCCTTGAGGGGGGCCACTTGGGGATCTGGGGCAAAATCAGTACTTGGTCCTGCTAGTGAAGGCAGGGGGCTGGACTCGATGACCTTTCAAGGTCCCTTCCAGTTCTAGGAGATGGGATATCTCCATTAATTATTAATTATTATTATTATTTTTCACATGTGGGGTGCAGTATAAGACCTGTCAGTGCTGTGGGATCTTTTTACATGGTGGTAGAATGTTAACACGCTAGAGTTAATTACTTTACAAGAAGATTTTCTTTATAGTGCAAATCTACTTCAACTTGAAAAATGTGCATTTTCAAGAAATGTAGGTGGAAGCAAAGCAGGATTTAAACTCTGTCGGGAGTTTGAATACCCAGCAGTCTGAATAGCAGACAGAAGTTTGAGCAAGTAAAATGTGTCTCATTTCACAAGCACCGTTCTTCAATTTATGTTTTTTTATTTATACTTTACTTTTGCTGCTGCTGCTTTCTGTCTTCATTCACAATCCCAATTCAACAAAATACTAGTTCTTCATTGCTGAAGTTTGGTAGCTCCTTTTTTTAAAAGCATATTTAATAGAATATGAAAGTGAGTTACAAACTGTAGCAAAACCACTCTGCTGAGGTTGGACATTGGATATGGACCATCATCCCATTCTGCAGCTATGAACAGTGCATTTGCAAAAGATGAAGTGTAGCAGAAAAGCATCAGAACAGTTGTCTATATTGCTAAAAGCAGTGCTCACATGCATACAATAGCACTTGATGAATCACTCTCTGGAATTTTGTCAAGCGTGGTTGGTACTTAAGCCTGAAATCTCTGCTTAGCTTCCTTTGGCTATTCTGTTTATTCACTTCCCAGAGGTTTGGAGCAGCAGCACAGTGCTGCAGAGCTTCCCTAGTCACCGACTCTCCAGCATTGTTTCAAAGAGCAGCACAGGGTACGAGAGGATGGAAACTTGAGAAACACGTGTAGACTTTGGAAAGCTGACGCACTCAAAGGGGACTTATCTGAGGAGCATTCCTACACAGTAGATTCTTTCCCAAGTAAAGTTTGGGAGCAAATGTTTTGTGCTACTGTAAACAAAGTAAAGCTAATTTTAATTTCATTATTTACTGTTGTTAAAGGGACACCAACTTGAAATCCAGTCAGCTTAAAAAAAATGATTTAAAAATGGTTTGGGTACTGTACCTGAGTTGTCCTGGCAATTTTTATGGTTTTACAGTCACGTTTTTCCTGTTTTTAAAATGTTTCTCTTCTTTTGCTGTGTGGAAGATCCACTCAAAAAGTAGGAATAGATTATGAATTCTCTTAGATCTTGAAATCAGTAGGCTAATTTCAGTTTTGTCTTAAACCCTTCACTCAGGTTACAGGGCTGCATTGGGTTTAATTTTAGCACAACTTTTCTAAATCCCAGAAGAAGTTGATTTGATTTCCAGTAAATACAACGTATAGTGACAGAAAATAGCCTTCTTTTTGATACTCTTGGATTTTCATTCCATCAATAGACATCAGTATTTAGTTCTCAGAGCGGTCGCATAGCATCTCTCACCTTTCATCACAAATGTTTATGTAAACAGTTTGCATCACACTGTGAACATAGCGTGTGCTGCTTTAAAAAGAGATAAAAGATTAGAACCATCCTTTTTAAGTCTTGAAATGCAAACTCATAATCAGCGTTTCTCAAATGCGGCCACCAGGGGCTTTTCCTGCGCCCACAGCCTCCTGAGTGGTGATTTGGAGGGGTGGGGGGGGCACCGGCCCCTCCCCTGGGGCTGCCAGTAGAGGTTGGGCCCTGCCCCCTCTGGAGCCACAAATGCTGGAGGAGCAAACAGCCGGTGTGAGTTCCCCATCTTCCTGGGGGCAGTGGGGCTCAGGCTTCTGGCTTCAGCTCTGGGGTGGTGGGTGGCAGGATGTGGCCACATGACAGCAGGCTCCGACCGCAGGGCTTCGGGCTCCAGGATTTGGCTACGCAGTGGTGAGCTCCATCCCCCGGCTACAGGGCTTTGGGCTCCCAACCCCCCTCATCGCCCCTGACATCCACTGTCTCCCCAAACCCCTCACCCTTTCACCCCATCACCCCTGCTGCCTCCCTACTCTCATCCCCATCCAAGGCTTAATTTGGTCCCCGACTTGACAGGGCTGAGTAAGTCTGCTATGAGAAGTGATATTTGTATGTTTGTTAATATCATCTTTCACTGCCTCACAGCTAGGGAACAAGTCTGCTGCTGTGAAAAGTGATGTTAACAAATGTACAAATATCTCTTCACAGAAGCAGACTTACTAGCCAGCAAGTCTTTAAAAAAAAAAAAAAAGAAACAACGAAGACAAGAACATGCAAAGCACCTTAATTTGTGTTTCTATTCTGTTTAGGTCCAGTAAAGAATAGAGACAACTGAACATTATTTTTATTATTGATTCTGCAAAAAAAACAAACCCTACATAAATAAATTACTATCATTTGGACATATGTATGAAAATATGTATTTGTTTTTCCTAAAGTTAATTAAGGATTTTAGGAAAAATTGTCATAGCAGCCACCAACAACAGACTCTTAGGCCACAAAAATTTGTTGTGAGAACCCCCCTAGATGAAGGGTGAAACATACCATCTTGAGCCATTCAAACACACTGCCATTTTCCATGCATTTCCAGTATAGATGACTCAGCAAAACAATTGAGTATCTGCATAAATTTAAAAAAGAATTTACTTCCATACACATGCTCCTGCTGTGTTTTGATTTCTGTAAACATCCAACCATTGAGTTTCTCTCTCACAAATTGACTTGGAAAGTTAATTTTAATCTCATATACTTGATGGTCTATTGGAAGTGGTATATTTCACATAAGATGGGACGCTGCTTGACATAGTAGCAGGAGAAGACTCCCAAAGCCCTTTTCCACTGAGGCAGCTATCTATGTGAGAGAGACAAGGATGGCACAATTATTTGTACGAATGCAACAGCAACCAGCCAAAAGGACTGATTCTCAGGCCGGGCCAAAGTGGCCTAGAGAGGAAAAGGTTTAACACCTCGTAAGCATATCCTAAAATGCTACCTTCTTCAAGCACTCCTATTGATTATAAGAATCAAGCTCATCCAATCAGGAAACAGAACCAATAGCATGTGACTTATATGATCAGTGGTAACCAGCTAAAATTTAGATTGTTTCAAATATTTCAGAAGAGGAGGTGAACTTCTAGCTCAGTTTCATTGAAAAGATTAATTACAAAATCAGTGGGTTGGTTTTACAAAATTGAAGAGAGACAGTCAATTCTGAGGAAATAAAAATCCCTCTTCTCTCTGAAAATGTTCTTCCTATTTCTATTATGTGTAACATCTTATTTATTTTATCTGCTGTTGTTATAAAAAACACAGTAAATACTTCAGTCTGTTGTTCAGTTTGTTTATTTTGTGCCTCTGACAATGCTTTGCCATCTCTCTGCATAATCACTCAGTTTCCTGCTTTGTTTGTGGGAGCCTTTTCATACAGCAGAAGGGTGGAAAAACACTTTAAAATGGGAAAAAAATGACGTTTTTAAGTTGTAAAACGTATATAAAGGAGTATTAGTCCTTCAGCCTAGGTACATTGAACATATTAGTGCTAGGAACTTGTTTTGCTTTTCTCTCCCCAGGGAACGATTAGTGTTGGAATAGATGCCACTGACCTCTTTGATCGTTATGATGAAGAATATGAAGATGTGCCAGGGAGCAGCTTTCCCCAGATTGAGATTAACAAAATGCACATCTCCCAGTCCATTGAGGTAAAGTGAAATAAACACCAACCGGAGTATAAAAAAGGTTCTGAGTTAATGAGGCATAGCAGCACACAGCACCACAAAATGGAACCCTGCTGGGGGGACGGTTTCTCATCTTTATTTATGACGGGAAGGGAGGCAGTTACCTGCTTTAGGGGACTGGGGCATGGAGATTCAGTTACGGCGGGGTCATGTGTTGACACGATCGCATACGTTTTTAAGGACACACATGTCAGAGTTTTGGCTCCAGTTTGCATGCTACAAAGGCTCTGCCTCCACTGCTAGCAAGTTTCCTTATCTAGGATAGACTGGCTGCTGGGCTAAACATTTATTTCTCAAACACATTTTCAAAGCCATGTTTAAAATGTAAACACAAATTCCAAGGACAAACACTGGGCTTTGTATTTACGAATGTGCTCCAGTGTGGGTTCCATTCCCCGCCTTCCCAGGAGTCTCACAAGTACTTTCACCTTGTTACCGGAAACTGGATGTATAGAGTTGGTTGATTTGCCTGGCAGTTCCTGAAGGCTTCAGAACCCAAATCCAAAGCAAAAGGTGGTACTTCAATGATCATGAGTGGTCAAAGACTTCTGTTTCACTTCTGACCCGAGTAAAAAGGACACTGGGGCATTGGTTCAGTACTGATGAATAGGAAGAGTGCCACATGCTGAATTATCATGATTACCTGCTGCTGCACTCAGATGCTCCTTAAAGGTCTCCCAGTGAGGTATTAATCCAGTGTGACCCTGTATAACTTGTGAGATCTGACAGGATCGCAGCCCAAGGTGTAGGGTTGTAAGTATGTTTAAACAAATGTGCAAATAATGTTTGTGCTGGAAGAGTTTCCAGCACAAACATTATTTGTATGTATGCTGCACTCTTGCTTTGTAAAGTTTGACTATAGAACTTAGTCTGGTGGCCACACACAGTTCAAATGCCCAGGAACAGGAATTGAGAGAAAGGTAGCACTGTCTGGATAATTACATGTCCCTATACGCTTACAAACTATCCAATCGTGCAGTTTTGGCTATGTCCTTGCAATGTGTTCATTAGGTTTTTGTAATTGAGGTTGCTAATACCTCAGATTAATCCAATAACAATACATTTATTTTCCAGGCTCCACTGACTGCCACAGACACAGCAATACTCTCTGGCAGCCTCTCCACCCAGAATGGGAATGGAGGCGGATCAATTAACCTTGCTCTTAGACGGGTCACATCCCCCAAGGGATGGGGAGAGGTAGGAGCATCAACTGTGGGTTTTTTTTCTTCCCACCAGCCTATTTCTAGCCAGTTGTATGAGTTCTTTATCCCAATTTATGCAGTAAGTTGTAAACCAAAATGAAACTGTGCTGGAGTTTGAGAAATCTTGGTTGATTGGTTATTCAGAGCACTGGATGGCTACTCGCCTGAGACCACAGGCCGGGTTTTTGTTGCTCACATAAAGCTATAGGGAAACCAACTTGACTCCAGTCGAGCGTGATATAAATAGCTGCAAGCCCCATATTGTCAGTTATCGGCTCTCCCTCTATGAGAACATAAGTTAAATATTACTGAGGAAAATGGCTTTGATAAGAGGCATCTCTGAGCAGAGGGTGTGGCGGCAGCAGTTTCAGCTGAAGATGGCTGCATTCCTTCCTGAGCTTTCAGGGCATTTACGTGGCTTGGTTACATCCACAAGGTCAGTTTGATTAGCAGGGTCTGATTTGTTTAGTCAAGAAAATTGTTTAAATCCGCTTATCAAAGGTGAATGCACTCTCATAGAAAAAGGATAAAAGACCAAACCACTAGACCACCCTGGGGTGAACACTTTTCGCAAAATGATCACTCCACATCTGACCTCTCAATCTTCATCCTCAATGGAAACCTGCATGATACCTTCAAAAGAGGAGCCTGGGAGCTTAAATTCATATTTTGTTTGATACTAAAAATCATGGTCTTAATAAAAAGACACTGGATTTATGGCTTCTTACAACAATCTGTAACCCTTAGCCCCCTTTTTTTGTCCTGTGACTGCAGGGGTATTGGCCACTTCACTTTAAATGGTCCTTTAGAATATGTGTTTATTACTTATGCTAAACAAACTGTTCCACCTTGTATTTAGTTGTGACTCTGAGTAACTTTCCCAGACCTGAAGAAGAGCTCCGCATAGCTCGAAAGCTTCTCTCTTTCACCAACAGAAGTAGATCCAGTGCAAGATATTACCTCACCCCCCCTTGTCTCTCTAATATCCTGGGACCAACATGGCTACAACAACACTGCAGCTATCAAAGATGCTGGCTGTTCTGGAGAGATAATGTCACGGTTTTATGGTAACTGCAGCTGTATTTTCCCCTCTGTGGTCCCTCAAGGACAACCATGTAAAGGTTTCTGGCTCCCCACCAGCACTTCTCCTGGTGCAGACCTGTGTGTCACTCCTTTCTGACCAGTGTTTTAAGACCGCACAGCTCACTGATGCACACTGTGATATCCCCAGCAAGCCAGACTGCCTGAAAGGCCAGTGCCTGCACTTTGCTTTCCTCTGAGGGCTCTGACTAGTGTATTGGAGCAGTTACAAATGACCACTCACCTCCTTCTAACCAAGTACATTTATTTTGAAGGTAAAAGCATTACAGCAAAAGCATCTAAAAACAATCAAAGAACCTACATGCGTGCTAAACAACTTACCCCCAAGGGCACCCCCAACTCCAGCAAGGGCTCTCATAGGTGTCAGTCCTTCAAACCCAACAAGTTGTGGTTACATATTAGTTTCATATTAGTCTTTAGATCAGCAACCAGAACCCAGACTGGGCAGCTCAGTGTTTCTTTATACAGCTTAGGATCTCTAGTATGCAGGAACAGGTAATCACCCGTTGATGGCCCTCTCCTCGGGTGTAGCTTCCAAAGGCTGAGTTTCTTTGCATAACCAGATTTGTGGCATTTGCATTAAGCACTCCCCAGGGAACCCATTTAATATGTATTGTTCCAAAAGTCCGTGCTTCTCTGGCACATTTCATTAAAGTCCTTTGAACTCTTTACAATGCCCACGTCTCTCATCTGTCACAGAGAGGTTGAGGGATTTTAGTTTATTTAATCTTCCATCTTTACAAATTCCCACCTGTACAAAATCCAAGAGTCCTTCCCGTTGCCTGTTCCAGGAGCTATGAGACCTCAAGATCCAATACCCAGTGACCTTACTCCTCTTTCCTTTTCAGAAGGTGAGTAAGACAAACTGAGACAAATCCAGAAGCTTAAATATGTTTAAAATTAGGGGAACAGACTCCAGCTTGTGGTTCTCCATAGTCCTAGAAAATCTGTGATAACCAGTACATGTAGGAATCCAAAAGCGATAGCTGTAGTGCTCAGAATGACATAAGGGTCCAGTTGTATAGGATGGCATCTTTTCATTCACATGCAGTCCCCACTCCCATCTAGCTCCATTTCCCGTGGGATTTATTTGGAAAATGAGTTTGTACTTGAAGGGTTTGTCTCTGGTCACTGAACTCTGAATCTGATGGAAAACAAATGACTGTAAATAAATGTATAGTAAACCTACTTAATAGAACAAGGACTCAAGGAACAAGAACTGATTCTGGAATTTCTCCCTATTGAAAGGTAGCCAGTTTAACAACTGTTTCTGCCGATGAGACTGAACAGTGCCAAATTAACATTGAATTGCAGCCTTGAAAGTCACCCAGACTAGTAAATGAAACAGCAAGAGCATTCTACAGACTGCAATACTGTGCTGTAACAGACGTGCTGACAGGGTTTAACGTGAGACTCTCCTGAGAACTCCCTCCAGTCACCTGTGAGATCTATAAACAATGCAGTGGAACAAAATGCAAATACAAAGAAATAAGCATTGAAGCCAAGGACTTGCATCTTCAGAGGGCAGCAGCCGGTTCTTGGGTGGCATCACCTATTTCAGGGAATCCTCCTTCTTCTAGCCCCTCTTCACAAGTTTGGGAATGAGGTCCTTTGGCTGACCGCAGAAGAAAAACAAAGTTGGAATGAAAGCTGGTGACAATAGATCAGTCCCTTTAAAGAAGATGGTTCTGCAATGGAGTGTTACCTCTTTTAGTGAACCCTTCCCTATACTAGCCCTGAGGATGTTGGTGTGTGAGGGGAACTCAGAGGTAGGTCTCCCTTCTCTGAGATGGTGCCTCCGTCAGGTTGCTCCCAAACCATCTTCACTTTCAAAGAGGCTCTTGAGCAGCTTCTGTGCACATTGCAGGGCCTGTGTTCCTGCGTCGAGATCTGGCTTAGAAAGTACAGTTTGATGGTTTTTAACACCGTTTGTGTTCCTCCCTTTTTCTTGTCCCTGCAGCTGCTCTTCTAGCTGGTGGTGGCGATGTTGGAACTTGTTCTTAGTGCCACTCACTTAGGGTATGTCTGCATAGCTCCGGGCAGCAAGTCTCCCAGCCTGGGGTGATTGGCTTGGGCTTGCAGGGCTTGCACTAGGGCTCAAAAAATAGTTGTGTCGACAGTGCTTTGAAGCCCACCCTCTCAGAGCGTAAGCCACAGCTTCACAGCACTGTCTACACAGCTATTTTTTTGAGCCCTAGTGCGAGCCCTAGTGCAAGCCCAGGCCAATCACCCCAGGCTAGGAGACCTGTCAGTCTTATCCAGGGAGTGCCACCAGGCAGAAAACCTAGATTCAAGTAAGCAGGGGGAGTGAATAGCCGTTTCTAAACTGTCACCAGCAGAGCACCATTCGTTTAGAGATGCAGCCAGCTTCTTCTCTTGAGTGCCCAGCCTTCACGAGTCACTATAGGAAGCACTGCGTTTTCAGGATGTTGAACTGCAAAGTGAGACCTAGATTCATAAGCAGTGTCATGGAGTTTGCTAAAGACTCTCTTAGGAACATAAGCAAATGTGTCCTGGAATTGGAGTTTCTCAAAACTAAAATGCTAATTCCAGATGCAGGTTTATGTGGTGGAAGTTAATGGCAGGTTGGGAGTCTGTGAGGGTTGCTGTAACACAAGGCACTGCATGTATGCACCCAGAAGGCAAGTTTGCAGTGTGGAGTAATGTGTGAAGCATGGAACTGGGAGACAGGGCTTCTGAGCTGTTACCATGGCTCTGCGACTTACTTGCTGTGCGGCCATGGGCAATTCACTTTCCCCCCTTGGTGTAGGATTCCCTACTTGCCCTACTGGAACAATGCCTGCCTAGTTACCTCCTGGGGTGTGTCAGGATTGATTTAGTTTGTACAGCTCTAAGATGGTGAAGCGCTAGCTCTGAAGAATAATGTACACTTACTTCTCCATTTGGGAACAGGGGGAAGGAAAGCTGGAGGGGTAAAACTATACCAAGCTCAAGGTAATGCTGGCTTGACCAGTTTGGGTGAATCTGCGCATATATATTGTAGCGAGTTTCAATGGCCATTAACATGGAATGCCACCCATGGCCTCTAGAAGATGCACAGTGTACGTTAGAAGTCACAAACCCTAGGGTTGGGTTGGCTGGCTTCAGATGGCATAAAGACTATGTTTTTTGTTACAATTTATTTAAGATGAAGCGTACATCATGCGACTGGACCATTATCTTAAATGACACAAAAAGTTCCCAGTTTCTTGATACCTTTCCATGCAAATTGTGCCCATATGATCTAGCTTGTAGCAATAACATTTGATGACCTAAAGTGGTTCAAAAGGAAATACCTAAGAAATATTTAATCCGGGCTACAAGATCACTGTCCTGTCTCTGAAATACCAGCTTCCTCTAGAATCCCAAGATCCATATGTTGTTTTACAGCATTTTGTCATATACTAATCCTATAATGCAGCATTAGAGACAATGATGCTGTGACCGGGGGCCCAATGAGGACCAGCTATGGTCACTCAATTAGGGTGAACTGCAAAGAATGGGGCAGACAATCCCCATAAAGCTGGTGGATTTTCCAATACTTAGATTTACTAAGCCGGCATAAAACAGCTTCTTTATTACCTTACTAGTTACTCAGAAGTCCAAACAACACAGTTCCCTTAAAGTGATCCAGCCTCAAGCTTCCATCCAGGTACCTAAGTCAAATATGATGAAGATTCCTGAACATTTTATTTAATCATATAAAAGAAAAGGCTCAAGCAACAGAGAGAGAGAATGGTTAAAAGATCAATATACATACAGACATGAGCTCAATTAATTGAGGTTTAGATTCATAACAGAGATGGTGAACTTTGTTGTTGCAAAGAGTTCCTTTAGAATTCAGTTCAGAGGTTTGTGACGAAGTGGAAATGTTCTTAATGTTTTCCCTGAGTGCTGTTTGGGTGCCTCAGTTTCCCCTATGCATTTCTTGGGTGTCTAGGGGTGTGTGATTGTTGCAGAGCCCTAGGGGGCTAGTGTTATCCTGTCTGCACACAGAATGGCCGACACTCTGTCTCCTGGCAACTAATGGCCTGGCCCCTCCTCTGCAAAGGTGCCAACTAAAGATGTTGAAGAACAAAGAGATCAGGTGACCTCCTGGCCCGGGAAAGAGACAAAGGGAGAGGAGGGTCTGGAGAGTTTTCAGTTTGGAGCTGGCTGGGAAAATGGAGGGGAGGCCAGACAGACCTTCTGGCCTCCCCTGGCCCCCCAAGAGGGGACCTGACTGAGGGGGTCCTGTTGTCTGTACCTGCAAGACCTGTCTTGGACTGTGTTCCTGTCGTCTAAATAAACCTTCTATTCTACTGGCTGGCTGAGAGTCATGGTGAATCGCAGGAAGCCGGGGGTGCATGGCCTTGTCTCCCCCAACTCCGTGATAAGGTTATAGACCAATGTCCAAATATCACATTCAGGACCTCAATCTTGCGACTCAAACTTCCCCGATGAAGCTTAAGCAGATCTGAGATGACAGAATCAGGACCAAGGATCTTTTATACAATTTCATGTCCTCTTGGACACGTTGGGATTTCCTCCGGAACAAAAGGTCATTAGGATGACTTTTGAAAGAGGTCCATCACCGGTACTTAGTTATAGAATTAACATAATGCAATTTTGCTTGTTCCTCAACCATTCACAGTACATTTCAAAGAGAGATGAATACCGAGATATCCCATGTTTACAAATCATTTAAATGCTAGGATGTTCTTTTGATCTCTGAACTATCTGCCTAGACAGGGACTGTTGGTTACATTGTGGACCCTACTCATATGTATATAAATACACCAACATTATCCCTCCACATGTTTTGAGGGTTATTTATTTTGCAGGATGTTTAACCCTTCTGGCCATGCATCACAGGTGCTAAGAACTGTAAGGATGTAGGAGCAGGATTTTATAATGTACTAAGAGAATTAATGTATGATTTGATTTCATCCTGTCAGCCCCCCTTTTTGAATAGCAAAAAGCAATGACAGACCAGAACAATCCTTATGAGTGTATTGTATCTATGTTGAGGGCCTGAAGCCCCAATTTGATTAGAGGAACGTTGAGGGCCTGAAGCCCCAGTGTAAATTGTAGGCTTGATTTACAATGTATTCTGCTGAATATAAAATGCTGTCTGGATACCTGTGAAGGTTTCTGTAAGAGATTGTTTGTGTGAATGAGGAATGCATGCATCAGGAAAAGATAAGGTGTGAAAGCCATCACAAATGTCCAGATGGTCAAGAAAAAGTGAAAGACTTGGAAAGACCAGGAGCCAATCAGAAAACATCCATTGTATCCGATGTTCAACATGTTAGCAACATTGACGACCTCAGAAGTGAGGCAGGCACCCCCGAAGGTGAAACAACAAATAAGAGATAACAATGGGAAGCCGGACAATAACCATCAAATGATAACACCACGTAAGGATTAATAGTTACAGGATGACATTGCAAAATGCATAGACTCAAATGGGAATTTACAACTATAAAGCTGGGGTGTTTTGCCATGGAACTCTGGCTTCAGTCCTGCAAAGCCTCGGAGCATCGGATCGCGACCGACGAGCCCAGCTCCTCACTCGTGCTCCATCTAACTGGCCATTAGATTGACTCGAGCTACAACAGATTGGTAACTATGAACATCACTGGCAGGACTGTGTGTGTGTGTGTGAGATTGAAAAGCATATGCTAACTGTTGTATTTTCAATAAATGCTGCATATTTGCCTTCCTCTATAAAGATCCCGTGTGCTTTGTATGAGCATAACAAGGAGGTGTCTCTCTGAGAACCTCCAGATCAGACAGTGGCAGGGGGGTAGGAATGGGATGTGGAGTCTTCCAGCTCTCGATCACCCGTTCCCATCTGGCCTGGGTTGTAGTGATCACCATCTACCTGCTGTTCAGTGAGTTGGGGGTCTCAGTTACTGGAGTATGAAAAAATCTCTAAGCTGTAAACATCAAAATTTTAAAAAGAAAGGAGTCCTCTCCAGGCCAAACGATTGCTTGTTCTCATGTCGTTTCTGCAGTGATTGGAGCAGGCAGTGCTCTGATTATAATGCTCTGACTGTATAATTGGCAGATTTTTTTGCTATCGTCATTGAGAGTATACACATTGAGATCTTTTGTGTTCCTGAGCATAACACTAATGGAAAAGACAGATTGCTAAAGCGAACAGACATGAATGATTTATGCTATGTTGAGGTATTTAATGTGTCTATAGGGTAAGGCAATGGTAAATAGAATAGAGTGTACAACTACTGGGAAAGATGTTCCCTTCTAACTGTTTTGTATCTTATATTTAAACAGTTAGAGTTTGGAGCTGGAGACCTTCAGGGACCTCTATTTGGTCTGAAGATATTTCGTAATCTTACACCAAGATGGTAAATATAAGAAACAGCTACTACTCTATATCCCTGTTCATGAATGTTCCAGACTGACATGCCCTTTCATATTCACTTTGGATATGTTTATCACATAGAACATGGCAGTCCAAGTTTAAACCTTACAGAGGACTTTCATATGGGGGAAAACACTTAGATTTAATATTATTTTGTTGTTGGTACTGTGCATTTTAATTGTACTCTGCAGGTGTTAGCAAGGATTGCGTCCTTCCCATCTTTGGTCTAGATTTGCTCTTGTAATGAGGTCACACTGCTGGATTTATGTCCTCACAATCCATTCTATGACAGATTGTGATCTCTAAACCCAAGAGTCTGACTTTGCTCCAGAGTCAAGTGGATGAAGAAACCAGACTGGGAGGAAACTCCAAGATAGTGTTATCTTTGGTCATGGGGGGGGGGGGCGGGAGGGAAAGCTTCTTTTTCTCCACTTCTCCATACAAGCTCTTAATTTCCTTGAGTGCAGTATTTCTGTTACAATTAGTTTCATGGTTTCTGTAAAGGGAAATCGTGTCTTACTAATCTATTAGAGTTCTTTGAAGGGGTCAACAAACAT